ACCCTTAACCAGGATAACATATTCATGAAGGTCTGTGTCTGTATTGCTGCTGTGTGTACCTTTTTGATGTCTAAGTACTTTAATTAGAATGATAAAAATAAGCTTGTCTTCTTCTCTTCTCTTGTCTTAATTTAATGGTAATTAATGAACTAGTGCCATTTTAATATGACAGAGAGAATTTGCTTTGAGATTAAGCGGAGTTAAGTTTGTAGAAAACACAATTGTTTCCTGAACCTCCTTTGCATATAGTCTAAAACATGACTTAGCAAATAGTGAATCCAATAATAAATATTTGTTAAATGACCGAAAGGTGTTTGTTCAATTATTCACTCATTCATTCATTAGGATCTATTCTCTCTCTCTCTCCTATCTGTCTATTATCTATCTATCTATCTATCTATCTATCTATCTATCTATCTATCATCATCATCTATCATCTATCTATCTATCTAATCATCAAGAGAAGAGGATCTTAGATATCACATCATCTATCATCTATCATCTATATCATCTACATATAGACCATATCTTCACAAGAACTCGGGGTCATAAGTGTTAATTATAAAACTTTTGTGTAAACTGATAATGGTTCCGCAAAGATGTCCATGTCCTAATCTCCAGAACCTGTGAATACGTTACTTTACATGGCAAAAGGGATTTTGCAGATATGATTAATTTAAGGGCCTTGAGATGGGAGAGATTATCCTGCATTATCAAGATGGGCAGGATTACATTACATTATCAATGTAATCACAAAGGTCCTTATAGGAAAGAGGCAAGAAGATCAGAGTCAGAAAAAGGAGATTTAGCGATGGAAATGGAGGTTGGAGTGATGTGCTTTGAAGATGGAGGAAAAAACCATGAGCCAAGGGATCCAGGCAATGTCTAGAAGCTCACAAAGGCAAAGACACAGATTGTCACCTAGTACCTCCAGCAGACATAAGACTTTAGTTCAGTACGACTGATTTTAAACTTCCAATCTCCAGAATTGTAAGATAGTAAATTTGTGTTGTTTTAAGGCACTAAATTTGTGGTAACCTGTTATAGCAACAATGGGAAGCTAATACAGTTATCGATATCACTCTAGGGATCAGGCAATTATGTTTTAGGTATGGTTCAGTTTTAACAACAAAAAGGAGCATTTCATAAGTTAGAGATATTGATATATCCATCCCTTCTTGTTCTTCCTTCTCTTTTACTTAAACCCATCCAGTGTCCTTATCCTAAAAAAAGTTCCTTTGATTTGATGACTCCCACCACTCTCATATTCTCTCACTTCTTCCAGCATTGGACTAGGAAGCATGTAAGAACTTACCAATCCTGAAATCTTGAGGTGCATGACCACATTTTTCACTCCCTGTTTCCATCTGTCTACAAGGCATTTCTACAGGGCTCACACTGCCATCTTTACCACGTTTAAAAACAAGCTCATCAGCATCTGCGACATTCCCATTCTAATTTGCCCGTCACCCAAGCTTATCACCTTAGAGTCATCTTCAATTTCTTTTCTTTCCGTCACCAACACTTACTACCCCTTTTTTTGTCAAGTGGCTCCAACTCTTCTCACTACTTTTCCCTATCAGTCTTTATCCCTAACTAGTTCAAGAACTTGAGTTATTGAAATAGGCTTTGGATTTCACTCCATGAACAATGGGGAGTCATTGCAAGCACTTGAGGATATGGATAATTTGAGTGGAATCACATTTTTAAAACAGTATATATTGCTGGGAAACAATGGAGGATGGGTTGAAGTAGTGGGGAGTCTGACTTGAAATAGGATAGTGGTAAACACAGAGGTGGGGTTCCTATAGACAATAAATAACTTGAAGAAATTTGAAGACCGGGAAATGTAAGAAGACAGAAAACCCAAGGATAAAAATATTTTCTTTTTTTCTGGATGTCTCTTTTCCTTTTCTCTCATGCCACTTCTGCTAGTACTATGCTTATATAAATACTCTCTCCATCCACCACCAACCACCCTACTGAATTTCTGCGTTCCTTCTATTTTCATGCCTTTTTGTTCCTTCACAAAGAACATCGGCCCAAGGAATAGAGATTTTACCTCTAGTCTAGTTATGTTGCATAACCTAGAGCTAGTCATTATCCCTGCCTGGGCCTCAGTTTCTCCATCTATAAAATAAGTTAACATCATTCAGTGAAACATTGATTGAACACATGTATTTCCCTCTAATCTCTTTTGAAATTCCACTAAGTGACAATAAAAGTGTAAGAAGCATCAACAGACAAAGGCAAAGTAATGGGTAGAAACTAGAAAACTGATGGACTAGTGATAGGCAACTGACTTAGCAGAGTAGAGAAATCTGGAATAGAAGTTAGTCAAGGGAAAACTGAGGTGCAAGGCAATTCATGTGGCACAATTTCAGAAAAGCTCAAATACTGTAGGCAACGAGTAGCTCTGAAGGTGGGAACAGGGAATGCTAAAGTAGGAGCATTGGCTGAAAACTTACATACCAAGTTTCTTTCCCTCACTCCTATGCAGCCTGGTAATCACTCTTGACTCACTCCAGGGAGACTAGAGGTTTATTTTTTGAAGACATTGACACAGAAGGACTCTAGGCTCAGAGACTCAGGCATAGCTAAGGTGGGAAATGTCACCCAGCCATCAGAAAGATAGTGAAAGTTTACATGCTGACTAGTGAGACTCCCTTAGTCCACTACTAGATCTAGGAGTCAGCCTTATGTCCTGCCCACCCACTTCTCAAACATACAGCCTTGTGGCAATAGGACACACAAAAAAGGCAACTGATTTAATATGAACGATGGTAAACAGGGTCACTCTAACTTTCACCGCTTGATTTCCAGACCCATATATTCTACCTATTGGAGTCACAGCATATAATGGTCACTGATTCAGGATGTATACTACATTCTGGTGGATTGTGACTCATTTCACAAGATAGCCATCTCCAAGCTGCACCACAGGTGCATCTTTAAGAGGCTATATCATTGACCTGTCAGGTTGGCAGTTTCTGGGCGATACCGTACTCAGTAAGACCAGGATATCCCATGGCTTTATCACCTCTACTGTAACTCTTTTGCTATAAATTTGGTTTTTATTTAATTTGATATTATGTGATGTTTAGTTTGCTAGGGCCATGAGAGAGAATCAGTCCCATGACTCTCACCTAGCTTCTGGTGGTTTGCTGGCAATCTTTGGAGTTCTTTGGCTTGTAGAAGCATCACCCTGATCTCTCCTTTCACCTCTATATGGTCTTCTTCACATGTGCATGTGTATGTCATCTTTTTATAAGGATACCGGTCATGTTGGATTAGGAGCCCATTCTACTCCAGAATGACCTCGTCTTAACTAATTACATTGTTAACAACCTTATTTCCAAATAAGGTCACATTCTGAGATACTAGGGGTTTGCACTCCAATGGATGAATTTGGAGGGAATGCAATTCAGCTAGTAACATTTGGGATCCTGGGTCTGTGAACCAGGGAATGCAATTCAACTAGTAACATTTGGGATCCTGGGTCTGTGATCCTGGGTCAGAAACTTGGAAAATCATGCTGGCTGAAGTCACGCAAACATGAAATGCAAGCCCATACCTAGAATTTGTGCTGATTATAGTCAAAATGAATCACTATCCCCTCCAGGATGGGAGGAATATAAGGTATATACCACCCCTGATTGAGGTTGTAGTGTAGCCACTTCCTGTTTTCAGCTTTCACCACAAAAAAACACTGGGAAACCAAGATTGGCCTTTTCCTTCCTCTGTTAGCAGGTCATAAGTGATGACCTCCAACCACTGTGTATGCAATCAGTGTGAGCCGAGGGAGAGGCACTAGTGCATCAGTGGTGGTTGACGTAGGGGCTGACCGCCAGTTCACCCAGCTCACTTGCGCTTGTATTCTTTAGCTTTGTAGCTCAATCTGGCTACAATCCTTCCATGTTCTGATGAACTATGCTCGACCTGCTCGACCTTATAACTTAAGAGGCTTTTCAAAACCTAGGTCATGTTGGGCATCTCTGGCCCCAACATCTTTTGAAATCTCATGATCAGGAGTTTTAACTCTACTACCACCAAGTAGCTTGTGGGTGTTGTTTTTTTTTGAGTAGCATATAATTCTCTGATGCAGATGGTATGGCCTTGCTTCAGGACACAAAAGTTATTAATTATATTTATCTTACTGGGGATTGCCATAAATACCATGTGGCACGATTTCCCACTATAGATATCTCTAATATCGAAGAGTTTGTTGGATGACATGGCCCATATGTCAGGGCCTCTTGCATAACATTGTGGACCTGATGCAGAGCCCTTTCCTATTCTGGGTCCCACTCAAAGTTGACAGCTTTCTCTATCATTTAGTATATGGATCAGGGAAGTGTGGACTATCATGTTCTCTGCTTTCTTTTAGAGGTGAGAGGGTCAAGATGCGATAATCTGACCTTTACTTTGGAAGTGTTATCTGGCATGCTCCAAATTACTGTACCTCTGAAACCTTTATGAATGGAACAGGGGATCTTTGTAGGGATTATTTTTCAGCCTCTGGAGTTACCAGGGTCTCGGATACCCTTGCCACTCCTCAATTATCTGGTCTGATTAATATGATGTCATTGATTGAGTGGACCAGTGTAATGTTCTGCAATGCTCAGATGGTTCAGACTCTGCAGATGATATTATGATGTAGGATGAGAGAGTTAACATGGCCCTGAGATGAAAGCGTAAATTCATGCTGCTACCCTCTCTCTATGAATACGACTTCTGGTTATCCTTGATAAGGATGAAAAAGAATGCATTAATCAGATCAATGTTTACATACCATGTATCTGAAGCAATGTTAATTTGCTCTAACAAAAATATCACTTTGGGCACTGCAATTTTAATTGGAACCTCTACTTGGTTGAGTTTGAGATCGTCTAGTGTCATCCTTCACGATCTGATTGGTTTCTATAGGGATCAGACTGGTGAATTAAATGAGGATATGCTGGAGATCACCACCTCTGGCTTTTTTAGGTTTTAAGGGTGGCTTTAATCTCTGCATTGTCCTGTTAGGGGGCTAGGTCCAAGGAGATTGAGACCTGGATTCACCGAGATGGCAGGTCCAGAGAAGGGACAAAGGGGAATGGCCAGACTGGGCCCTCTGTATCCCTTCTCCCCTGCTCCTCCTTCTGCACCTTCATTCTCCATGCTGTGGTTGGAGTGAAGCAGGAGTGTTCACCCAGGCCCTTCCCTTGGCATTTCTTCTTGCCCAGACTGTGAACCTGGAGAAAACTGTGTTCCCGAGACTCAATGGTTTTGTAAAAGGGAGTATGATCCATTTGGAGTTGGCCTTCCTTTTCAAGGACGCACATGCCCTTGCCCCCAAAAGTTCTTGGAGAAATTTGTTTTTAACAGAGCAGAGGATCCCCAAGTTCTTTTTTGTATAAAGGAGGAAGGCATTTTTTAAAAAGACCCATTCAGGGTGACAAATAGGTACATCACTGATTGATATCAAATTAGATTTCCGGAATAACCACATCCAAGCATTCAATGATTTTGTTTTTATGGCACCTTGTATAACCACTTAATACCCAATAAACATTATTTAATTTATTGGGCCCGAACTTCAGCTAACCACTCCCACCTCCTCAAGCTATATAGTCGAGAAGTGGTGAGGCTCAGGATGTGGCTGGCCACCTGGGAAGATGAGTTCATTCCTATGCTAGGAATTAGTCTGAGTCCTGCAATAGTGGACTGGAATGTTACTAGAGGGAAGAAATTTGTGGAGACAAATTCAGCAGCACCTCACTAAGCTATGAACAAGTATTATCAGTAAGGCTGGGCGCCAAGCTGGGATCAGAAACAGAAACATATTTATTTTATGAACACTGTAAGCACTGAGCTGATTTGAAGGCAAACAGATCTGACCTGAGAAGGCCTAGCAAAAAACTCCTGTTAACAAAATCAGTCATTCCCTGAAATGAAATGTGTTGATCATTAATTATAGTCTGGGGCCAAAAGCTATGGATTTCAAGAAATACAAAATGCATCCAATGGCCTTTCTTGACTTGCCTTTCAGGTCCTCTGCCTCATCTACTCTTCACGTGCTCAGCCCCAGCTCTTTCAGCTGGAGTATGATGGCTGAATATCTTCAGGCCAAGAAGGCAGAAGGAGAGAATCTTCTGGAGGTTTGAAAGGACAGATTCGTCAGATGCCACAGCCAGAAGTGGTTTTAGAGCAGTGCGAGTAGGGAGAGTAGCTATTTGACCCCTGCTCCCTCATCAGAGGCCAAACGACACCAATTTTCACTTAAGAATGTCAAGCTGGTGAACACTCAGGGGGCA